GATCTCTCTGAGCAATTCTATGAAAACACACTGATCACAAAAGTATTCACACCCTGGTTTATGCTTGAGCACCTCCAAACTGTCTTTATTCTTGGGATCTTGCAAATATGAAACTCCTTGCATATTTCTTCAAAGAAAAACATGGTGGAGAAGCAATAGCTCCTATTTGCAAAGGCTCATAAATATAGATATCTAATATCTTATGAGTTGGACCTAAATATCCCCAAGATCAACAAATTGTTGACAAAAAGATTTAGAGTAATTCTAATGGTGCACATTGGAGGATCAGTGAAGCAGAACGGTAAGAAGCACAGCACTGAAACCTGGATAGAGTGAAGTGGACTTAGAAATGTAATTGTTGCTCCTGTTTGCATGACACTGAAGCAAAACATTTTCGGTGTAAATGTATTTTAACAGTTTGTTTCCCGAATACTGGGATATCCTGGAGAGACGGAAGTTGTCATGAAACGCGGACAGATGGACTCAGTATTCAAAACACAGGTAAGTGACCATGATCATCTGACAGAAGATGATTATCTGAGTCACTTACCTGGTTTAACAGTCCAGTCCAAGAATGTCCCCCAAGTGCTGCAGTCCTAGAGGACATGCTGGAAGCCGATCCTGGTCAGGGATCCAGAACAGACAGGAACAGGATCCAGATCGGGCAGGAACAAAAACAGGTGGCAGGATCCAGACTTCCAGGCATCCACAGGCTCCCAGAAGGGTCCGAAAGCGTGACCAGGTGGTCACGCACAGGAGCAGACAGGATCAGGTGCAGATGAGCAGCCTCAGTGGAAGAGGGTAGCCGAGACAGGACGTGGAACCAGAACTTGATGCAGGACTTTAAACTGGTCTCCTCCCTGGAGCCAGGCTTACTGGAATAAAAACTGAACCTCCCCACATGTATAACCAAAAACCCAGAGGACTCTGCGGGGGAGGAACAGTGGACGATCAGGAGACGAGACAAACACAAATACCCTCTTTCCACTGGCTGCTAGGATCCAGGACATGAACCAAAAAAAAACTGAACAGACAGACTAACAGAAAACAAATAATGATCTGGCCCCGAATGCTCAGGCTGAACTGAATATAACCAAGAGGAAACAGGTGAGAGGAATAATTATAATTGAGTCAGGGAGGGAAAAGGGCAGGTGGAAAAGATCATCAATTAAGGAGGAGCAAACAGGCCAGATCATGACAGAAGTAGCACAAGTAGTGTCACCGATTGAGACGCAGCTCCTGGAATCGCCGCACCGTGAGCAATTCTGAAGGAGTCGGTGGACCAAGAGATGCTGGCACTGTTGTTGGGTAACTCTGTGACTGGCTCTTTGAAATCCAGGTCCGCCATATTGAGTTGAAACTGACAAACAGGAAGAAGCTCCTCCTCCTTGATGATGTGATTTAGTTACCTGGGCGGCATTTCATCACATTGTTCATTTGAATTACTTGCAAGAGAGGCGGAAGGTCAGGTGACTAATGCCCAGGTAAACCAGTCGGAATCTTTGCCACTTTGGTGTAGGGCTGGGCAATTGATTGCATTTGCAATTAAGGTTGCCAACCATCCCTTGAAAACTGGAATCGTTCCGTATTTATAAATAGAAGTACCTGTCCCGAATTTAGTGTAAAAGGAACGCACTTATTACTGTCCACTTATTGCTTTATCCCATATTACTGTGAAAGTTAAAAAAATAGTCAGTAAAAAGCTAAAGGAAAATGAAAGGAAAGGTCACATTAGATACAAAACTTACGGTAAACTTGTTCCCGGGAGCTTTCCTGCATTGTGACCAATGAGCTGACAACATATATGTAACGATCCAGAATCCCCTCATCCCATTGGTCGAGTCAAGTGTTGCTCACGGAGAAGATAGCGGGAGAAAACAGAGCAGTATGGGGGACGAACTGAGTCATTTTAACGCTGACGCTGCTTTTGGGGGCGGCGCACTTTCTAAAAACAATGCTCCTCCTCCGAAAAAAGAAAAAAAGGATGCAGAAATATACGGAGGAATGGGAAAAAACAAATACCTCGGTGGAAAAAGTCAGCGATGATTAATATAAAGCAGACTGCAAATATGCATCTAATTCAATGCAGATTTGAGTCAAATTGTTTAAAAAAAATTATTTCACACAAAAAGGAGAGTAAAACACTAAATTTTTCCCTTCAGCCCTTTAGGCGTTGGTAAAATGCTTGCGCTAGTCGCAACAAATAAAGGTAAAAGCGTAGCAGCTAGCACGCAGATCCACGCATGCATGTAGAAATCAATGCTTTTTAACACAATGGTTTAAGTAAAATCCTGGAACAATGGGTAAGCAAGCTTTAAAAAACTGAAAGATTTGGTTGAAACCTTCATAAGCTTGGGATTAGAGCAAAGGAAATTCGAAATAAAATCGCAGTCGCAATTTTGGTTAAAAATACTCGCAATTTTGATTCTTTGGAAAATCGTTCAGCCATGCTTTAGTTTGAATTAACCTTTATGTTGTGTCCCCAAAAAGGGAATCCAGGATTTTAACCCATATGGAATCCATTGATTGGACCTCCAGTATAATACTTTTGTCTTATTTATTGTTACTGAATAAAAAATATTAAACTCGTTAGTAGATTCCACTTAAGTGTGCCGCTGCTGCCTCCCTCGGGTTTAGAGAACTGCTTGCCTTTAGTTTTGTAAGAAAAATACACTTTAAACTACCTTAACTGTGTATCCCTTTAGTCATGTAAAAAAAACAATAGAATTACTACTTTTTTGGTGTTTTTCGAAGCATATGGTAATCTGACGGCTCTTCCATGTGGTCATAACTTAGTGCAGTAATCCGAATGGGCGTGCATGCGTATTACTATGGATATGCTAGCCTGACGTGGTTTGCTGAGCTGATAGAACACCGCCACAGGGGTGGCTAATGATTGGTTTGAGGAGTCTTTGGCCCCCCATCCAGCTACGCCCCTGTTCTTATTGGGCTCAGATTGGGCTGTTACTATCTAGAGGTGGCATCTTGCTGTCAGCGCCAAGGTTTCCAGGGAATGTGTCATAAATGTCAAATAAAGCTCCAATTAATGGTGGGTTTTCACAGGCTTGCTGCCCGGCTGCATTGTTGTTATCTGTACCTAAATGACAGCAGAATAACCAACACTTCTGTATAAAATGTTTGGCTGGTTGGGATGCAGCAGGTTTTCTTTACTCTTTTGAAAGACGGCCAAAATGTTTCTTTTTTTTCCTGTAAAGCTTCTTCCTCTGTCAGTGCTTTAAACTCCTCCAGGATCCTGGGAATAGCAGGGTTTACAGAGGAGAGTTGTAGCTAGGTAACGCCAACATCACCTACCTGCAATGCGTTCAGGAACCTTAAAAAGGGTTGGATTTTTTTTTTATTTGAAATAAAAAAATGTAACCTAGTAATGAAACTTTACAAAACTTGTTAATCAAAAATGGTTTTGAGAGTAACTTTGCTGTTTCTTCAAATTTTATTTGAAATTATATATTTTTTAAATTTAATCATTTGAATTTTATGTTTTAAGAGTTTATATATATATATATATATATTTTTATTTTACTGTTTCATTCTTTTGAACTTGTTTTTTACAGTTTTCTTTATTTATTTACAATTTTTTTTCAGATTGCGTTTTTCGTATTGCATTGCTTGCATTTAAAGCCCCATAAAAATACTCACTCTTGTCCATTAAAAGTTTTGTTGCTAACGCTCATGCACACCAAAATAAAATGCTACCTCGCTCCTCTCTTTTCGGAGGAAAACCCGCCCCCTGAAGTGTAGAAATTGTAAGAATAGTATACAATTTGCAAAGCTCAATATGAAAAACAGAAATTTGAAAAAAGAAATTTGTGCAGTAATATTTTGTTAAACTAATGTATATAATATCACTTTAACAGGTAAAGTAACGTAAAATGTATTTAAAGGAAAAGTCCGGTCAGCAAGGAATAACTAATAATTTTCGGTGATTTAATGAATTTGGCAAATTTTCGTTGCGATCACCAAGTCTGGGAGCGGCCATTTTTGCCCAAATATAGAAGCCCCTCCCTCCTGCCATCTTCCAGCAGTGACGTCACGGTGCGGTAAGCCTAGCGCCATTCTCCCCGCTTTCCAAGCTAAATCAATGGGAACTACTAGACACATCTGCAATCAACAACAATTATTGAAGATTTCCAGAGGACTTCACCATTGAAATTCACCAGAGCTATAGTGAAACTGACAATGCCCACGTGCATGGCAGCTGGATGCTGGAATACATCGGGGAAAAGTGAAAAAAAAGAGTTATTCCACCTTTCTGATTCCTGATCCTCCACGGACGGGTTGGTCGTTGGATCGCCAACTTGAAGAGGGAGGATTTGCCATCGAACTTCTGGCCAGAGAAAAAACACGTAATATGTAGCCAACATTTGGAAGAAGAATGTTTTCAAGATGACTTGGATAATAGCGCGTTGTGACAAACACCAGATACAGCACTGGGACTTGATCAACAGCCGATACCGCACCGTGACAATGTCACTAACCAGTAGGTGGCAGTGTTGTTCTTTGACAAACATGGATGCCTCCAGTAAAGCACATTCACATGAAAATTACTCTGAATTAAAAACACTGATCATTTATTGAACAGGATGGAATCATTTCAGATTTAAAGAACTTTCAGAAGTTTGAATATGAGCGAACTTTTCCGAATTGTTAAACGAAACAAAGTCAGAGAAAACGGCAAGATTTTTTCAAAATGTCTTTATTTTAAAGTGTTTTGCAAAGTTTGAATTCTGGATTGCACTTTTTTATTTCTGTGTTCTTCTCTTTCAACAATAATGGAAAAAAAATCACGACAAAAATTCCCTCGTGGTGAGGAAGAGGAATATTCTTGATTTTATCTGACGGATGGACCTTATTGCAGACGCATGACTCAGCACAGAGTTAGTTTATGGCGTTTTTGCTCCATCGACAGAAAAACGCTGATTCATTCAAACTTTGAATCCGCATGACTCATGGATCTTTGTGTCTCCATGGTTGCTGTGCAGGAGCTGTCCTCATCCGTTCATCACGGCGCTGGAGAACCGAGCGGACTGCTGGCCGGCGCTGCTGCTGGAGATCGATGACTTCATCCGCCAAGCCGCTGAACGGTGAGCAGAGCTGCAGCGCAGCTCCTGGAACCCGCTGCTTATTACTCCCATCTCCTCTGCAAATCTTTAAAATGTTTCTGATTGGTCAAAGTTGGGGTTTTTTTTTCCAACGTTGCAGGAGTGAAGCCTCTTACATCACCATGCTGGTTCCCTTCCTTCGGTACCTGTACTGTGAACCTCAGAGGCAGTCCCAGCATGCCTTGCTGCGGCAGAGTCTTCTCCGGGTGCTGCTGCCCACGAAAGCAGCGGACAAGGAGCAGGAAAAGGCCGCTGCGGTGTACGAGAGCCTGCTGCTTTGCCTCTGTCAGCTGGTTCCACATTTCCAGGTAAATTTAAAAAAAAATGGAATCATTAGAGGAAGTTAGCAGCTCCAAGGATAAAAATAAGTTTGCAATCGGTTGTTGATCTGAAAATATAAAACAAACTTTTGACACAGCTGATCATTTAGATTTAATATTTAAATAGTGGGCAACAGTTTGTAAAAATGGGTGGGCTTGGGTGTTAATTGTTGTGTCTCTTTTTCAAAATTGACCTTTAAGAAATGAATTATTTTCCATTTATTTTTTGCAGATCATGTTGACCTTAAGTCTAAAACAAACGTTTGCTCTTAACGAGCACATTGACCAATTAAGGTTTTGTCTTCACTTCTCACTCCAGAGAAAGCCCCGCCCCCAAAATGGAAGAGGATGCAATTCATTAAATTCAATCAAAAAAAGAGATGCATTTGAAAAAATGTTAAAGAAATTAAATATTTAAGAAAAATGAAAAAATAAAATATGAACAAAATATTTGAAATAAATTAAACTACAGAATAGCAAAGTTAATCCTTTAATAGCTTTTTTTA